GCAGCAGTCGCAGTGGGGCCGCCTCCCGTTGGGGTTGCCCGGTGCCTCTGGTCGTGGTGGCTGCGGTGGCGGCCCTCGCATCTTGGCGTCGGGTGGCAGATTTGGCGCTCTGGGTTGCCAGTACCAGCTCCAGACCGGCCCCTTCCGCGGCACTGTGTGTGGTTGTACCGGTCACACTGCCGCTCGATGCTTCTGCCGCCTCGACGACCTCTTCCGTCTCTGCTTCGGCCCTGCGCCGGACCTTCCCAACTGGCCCTGTCTGGTGCGTCGCCATGTGCCTATCTATGAGATGGATATGGATCAGCTTTGCTCTGTCTTGCATGCCATGTATGCTGATGACTATAGTGTGATCGAACCTTATTACCCTGTGTTCCCTAGTGTAGGTGTGCCCCCTGTGTGTAGTCTAGACTCCCCTGCTGTGTCAGGCATAGGACCTTCTGCCTTGTTTAGCCTAGGCTCCACGCTAGCCCCTCCGCCGGTTGCCGCTATCACTTCGCTCTCGTTCACGCTTGACTCTGGTGCGCCTGCCTGCTTCTTCCGCGACCACACTGCGCTCACACCGCTTGCCACCCCTGCCGCTGTCGCGCTTGCTGACCCCTCTTCCTGTCCAGTAGTTGCCCGTAGCTCCACTACCCTTCCCAGTCCGGCGGTTCCCTCGGGTCCCCTCATAGGACTGCACATCCCTTTGTTCTCCAGGAACCTAGTTGGTATCGGCTGTCTTCAGGACCTTAGCGTCACCACTACGTTCCCGGGTCACGAGCGGTACACTGTCTGTAACGAGGCCGCCTCAGGTTCCCCCCTTGCGACGTTCCCCCGGGACCCGGTGTCTGGCCTGTTTATGCTGGACACTGCTTCCCCCCCAGGTGGGGCGTCCTCCCCGGGTCCTGCGTCTACCCAAGTCGCCACTCCATGCTCGTATCGGTCACTCATTCACCCGTTGATTCTGTGGCACCACTGTCTAGGTCACCCCGCACTCCTTCGTCTGCGTCACATGTCCCAGCACGGTATTGTCCTAGGTCTCCCTACATCACTCCCTGCCCTCCCTCACTCGCCTGCACCGCCGTGTACGCCTTGCGTTGAGAGCTGGCTGCGCCGTGCTCCTCACTCCTCCCCGCTTTGCCCTGCCACCGCGCCACTCTAGACCCTGCACCTGGACATCTGGGGCACAGCAACCATCCTCGGGCTGCGTCGAGAGCGCTTCTTTCTAGTGCTTGTCAACGACTATATGCGCTACACCACGGTGTTTCCTCTGGAGCAGAAGGCCGATGTGCCTGACGCTCTTATCCCGTTGGTCATAGCTGTGCGCGTCCACTGCGGTCTCCTCGTACTGTGTCTCCACTCCAACCGTGGTGGCAAGTTCGCCTCTGGTCGGCTTGGCCAGTTCTGTCGTGCGGAGGGCATCACCTAGTCGTACACCCTGCGGGACTCCCTGCAGCAGAATGGGGTCGCTGAGCGACGCATCGATTTGGTCATGGAGGTGGCTCGTACCTCCATGATCCATGCCAGTGCACCCCATTTTCTGTGGTCGTGCGCTATTCACTACGCTGCACTCCAGCTTAACGTGTGGCCGCACTCTTAGCAGCTGCAGGTTTCGCTGACCCTTCTCTGGATTGGGTTACCTGGCGACGCATCCGCGTTCCACGTCTAAGGTTGCCTTGCTCACGTTTGTGCCTCTGGCCCAGACAAGCTCACTTCCCGCACTGTCCCCTGTGTCTTCCTTGGTTTCCCCCTTGAGTCGTCTCACTGACACTTTTACCACTCGCCGTCTCACCGCTTCTTTCACTCTCGTGACGTCACTTTCGACGAGTCTACCACCGCTTTCCCCACCAAGATCTCCCGGTTTCCCCGCCCCTATGTCTGGTTCCCACTCCCCCGGTAGCCTCTGCTCCCCTCCCTCCCCATCTTGCTCCGTCTGGTGTGTCTCACTCCCCTCCCGCCGGTTGTCCCGGTCGAGGAGTCGGCTGACTCTGGTGGCCCCGCGGCGCAATTCTGTCGCCTGTTTCTCCCTTGGTGTCTCCTCCTCCGCTGTCACAGCAGCCGTCGTCGTCACCACCGCAGCAGCAGCCGCAGCCGTTGTCGTAGCCGCAGCAGCAGACGCCGCAGCAGCAACAGACGCCGCAGCAGCAGCAGACGTCTGTGGGCTCTGGGGGTGCTGGCGTTGAGGAGGGTACTAGTCCTGGGGTTACTGTAGTGGCAATTCTCGGCGGTCTCGGGGGTGGCACCGGTGCTGGAGAGGGTTCTCGTTCTGGGGGTGCTGGAGTGGAGCATTTCGGAGGTAGCCATGGTGCAGCTGGAGGTTCTGGTGTCGGCGTGGAGCAGCCGCAGCAGCAGTTGCCGCTGATGTCTGCCCTTCGCCTGCTTGACCTTCCCTCCCCTGACCACTCGCCTGCGCCTCCCCCGCTGCCGCCTCCCCTGCCAGTCTACGGCCCTGGCTTTCCTCCGCCAGACTCGTCTCCGGCTCGTTTCCCTCCTCGTTCTCCTCTTGTGTCTCCTAATCCGATGCCTCCATCCCACTTCTGGTCTCGTCGTCCCTCTCGTGCTCGTCCTGTCCCTCATGTCCAGCGCTCTCACCCGATGTTGCTTCGTTCCCACGTGTCTCATTCTCCCCTCCTCCCTTCGCCTCCTCTGTTGTCGCTTGTTGTTGCTCCGCCTCCTCTGCCTGACTACCTTCGTGCCGCTAGTCCTCTTTTTTCTCGGGTCCTTGCCTCCCTCGTTACCGACCTGTGTGTTCTTGTCTTGAGTCTTGATGCTCTTGTCGCTGCTGTTGGCCACGTCGCCTCTACCCGCCACCTTGATTACGCCACTGCTCTGGTCTCTTACCTTGTCCGTCCTCCGTCCGTCGAGGGTGCTCCTGCCCTTGGCAGTAACGTCCTAGCGGACCGGCAACATGAGCTTGCTTTCGTGTTCGAGGCCGCGCTTCATCTCTGCTCCATGCTGCTAGTCCCTGAGAGTGACCCAAATGCCCTCGACATCCCGACCCCTCGCACCTACGCTGAGGCGACCTCAGGACTCTGGGCCTCTCAGTGGGTAGCTGCCATGGACGCGGAGATGGCATCTTGGAGATTCACCGGCACCTACGTCGATGCAGTTCCCCCACTTGGGGTGAATGTAGTAGATGGCCGGTGGCTCTTCAAGGTGAAGCGCCCTCTTGGAGAGCCGTTAGTGTTCAAGGCGCGCTACGTGGCTAGAGGATTCAATCAACGCGAGGGTGTGGACTTCTTCCAAACCTTTGCCTCGACCCCGAAGATGACTACTCTTCGGGCGCTGCTACATGTAGCAGCACAGCGTAACTACGAGCTGTACTCTCTCGTCTTCTCGACAGCTTTTCTTCAGGGCAGTTTGCACGAGCAGGTCTACCTGCGCCGTTCGCCAGGCATTATCGGCACCTTCGCCCCTGGGACCCAGTGGCTTCTCCGGCGCCCGTTTTATGGCCTGCGGCAGGCTCCGCACGAGTGGCACGACACGCTTCGTGCTACGTTAGCTGACCTGCAGTTCTTCCCGTCGTCTGCAAACCCCTCGCTCTTCGTTCGTGCTGGCCAGATCTCGTTCTACATCCTAGTCTACGTAAACGACCTGGTCTTTGCTACTGTAGACAGAGATGCACTGGCCTACGTGAAGGCTGAGCTGGTGAGGCGACACACCTTCACTGACCAAGGAGAGATGTGCCGCTACCTTGGCCTGCAGATCTCCAGGGACAGAGCAGCGCGCACCATCACTCTCGCACAGTCACACTTGGTGTGCCAGGTCCTTCAGAGGTTCGGTCTTCAGTTCTCCTCCGCACAGCCCACACCTCTGCCAGTAGATCACATGCTCTCGGCTCCTGTCCCTGAGGAGTCTGTAGAGCCTAGTGGTCCTTATACTGAGCTGGTGGATTGCCTCATGTACCTGATGACTTGCACTCGTCCAGATCTCGCATACCCTCTCAGCATCCTGGCTCGCTTTGTAGCCATAGGCCGACACCGACCACAGCACTGGTCGGCCGCTAAGAGGGTTTTGCGTTATCTAGCAAGTACATCGGGCATGGGGCTAGTGCTAGGAGGACGCATGCCAGTGGTCCTTACAGGGCACACAGATGCTTCGTGGGCGGACGACGCTGAGACACACAGGTCGTCCCAGGGCTACTGCTTTAGCCTTGGTGCAGGCGCCATCTCGTGAAGGTCCACCCGCTCGTCGTCTGTTGCCCAATCGAGTTGTTAGGCTGAGATCTACGCTGAATTTCTTGCTCACAGACTTAGGTGAGCGGCCTAGCTCTGCCCTGGTCTTGTACGCTGTCAACAGGGCCATGATCCTCCTGTGTCAAGAGCCTAGACTAGAGGGCAGAGCAAAGCACATCTAGCTGCGGTACTTCCTCCTGCGCGAGCTACAGCAATGCCGCCAGGCTCGCGTAGTTCACTTGGCCTCCGGGGCCAACACAGCTGATATCTTTACGAAGGCGCTTGCGCCTAAAGATCATCAGCGGCTCTATTTACAGCTTGGTCTAGTTCCTGTAGTCTCTCACTTGCTAGGACCCTGACTGTGTACTACTACTTATATTATCTTGACTGGCCTTGTGGCTCTTGTTCCAGTGTCTGGACTAGTAGAGCCGCCCTGGGTTACACTTGTTTAGTTTGTACTCTTGCTGACTGGTCTTCGGACCCTTGCCTCAGAGGTGGGATTAGTAGTGCCACCCTGAGCTGTGTGTCTCTTGCTAGTCAATGCCCGTTGTCTAGCCTAGGGGGTGTGTCAACATATAATTTGTATATGTTATATGCTAGCTAGGTGCATGCTTATATAGAGTACAACCCCTTGGTTATATCTCCTTGTACCACCTCATTTTAGTCAATTCATTCTACGCACTCCTATGCCCAGATCTGGGCATAAGAGAAGTTTAGAGTGTGCTGGTGGTATACAAGTTGGAACAGAAAAATGCAAATGAGACTAGGTGGCAGGTCTGAAGGACCTGCCGATAGATGAAGGAGTTTGTCTCCTGTACAGCAAACTCCTCTGCTAGTTGAATCACTAAAAAAATCTCATATTTCAGCATTGGGCCCTTACAAGTCAGGGTTGGTAACTTGGTACAAGCAAGCACTCTGAAAAGACCCTGAATCAGGGCAAGTGGCTTGAAATCTGAGGCCCTGAGTGAAACCCTCGGGTCTGACACCCCCTCCAGAATTTACCCTGAGCCTCCTCGATCCCACGAATTCAGACTGCACGGACCATTCAGTAACGGTTGGTTGATTGCAAAACGGCCACTGCAGGAAACTTTTTGCTGATCCTGCGGATTTCAAGCATATCTGAACCTACTGCCAAGTTAGAAGAAGCAACCGAGTCTTCCTTTTAACTGACTCTCCTCTTCACTTCCCTCCAACCCCCCCCCCACCTCCCCCCACCTTCACCCCTGCTGGTTCCCCCTTGTCTTCCACTTCCTCCTCCCCTTCCTCAACCCCCAGTGCCGAGAGCCCCATGCCATAATGACTAAAAACCCCATTCATTACCCCTACTTCCCCTCATCTCTCTTCTCCTCCTGTTCCCCTTGCTTCTCCCCTTCCCTTGCTTCTCCCCTTGCTCCTCCCCTTGCTCCTTCCCTTCCTTCTCCCCTTGCTTCTCTCCTTGCTCCTCCCCTTGCTTCTCCCCTTGCTTCTCCCCTTGCTCCTCCCCTTGCTCCTCCCCTTGCTTCTCCCCTTGCTCCTTCCCTTGCGTCTCCCCTTGCTTCTCACCTTGCTCCTCCCCTTGCTTCTCCCCTTGCTCCTCCCCTTCATTCTCAGCCCTCTGAGCAAACAGCTCATCCATGTCATCACGACCCAAAGCCACATGCACACCATGCTCTAGCACCGATTGCTTTGCCTCCCCTCTCCTCTTCCCTTTCCCCCTCCTCCCCTTCACCCTCCCCTCCGCTTGTCTCCCACTCTCCCCATTCCCTCCTGTGCTTGCTCCCCCTCCTCCCCCGTCCCTGTCTCCTTCCCCTTCATTTGCCTCTTCTGTCCCCCTCTCACCCCCTCCTTCATTATCCTCGTTATAGTCATCCTCTACACCATCAGAGCAGCTTCGCACATCTGGCAATTCACTACTGGCAGCAGAACCCCCCCGTGGGGTTACCACACCAGGTGTTACACACCCGGTTGCTGCTTTCATCTCCTCAATCATGCCATAAGCAGCGCTGTTTATTTCAGCTACCCGTTTTTCCTTTGCCCGCAGCAGCGTGGTGTAGAGGGACCGGGCGGCCTCCAGGGACGAAACTTTTGCAGCTGCCCGGCGCCGCTGGGTGCGCATCCGGGCAGCAGCTTCGTTGCGGGCGAGCTGTGCTTGCTCCAGGGCAGCTTGGGCAGAAGAAAAAACAGCAGAAAGAGATGCATCCTCGGTAGTCTTGCCACTGCCCTCCCCATTCTCAACCTGCATCTTCCCCTCCCTTTCCCCCTCTCCAACCTCTCCCTCCCTACTCTCCGCTTCCTCCTCTCCCTCCGCACCCTCCTGCCCCTCCTCTCCCCCTTTTCCCTCCTCTCCCTCCTTCCCGTCTGCACATCCCTTACCGCCTTCCACTTGTGCCTCCGCTCCCTTATCTGCATCTGCGCCCATCGTTCCTAGACCCACATGACTTATGCCTTCATTCTCAGCACATGCCTTGACCTCTCCAACCTCCCCAGCAGCTCCCCCCAACGAAGCACCTGCATCTGCTGCCATCGCAATTACACCCACATGACTTATGCCTTCATTCTCAACACATGCCTTGACCCGTGCCGCTTCCTTCGAAGCTTCCTCCAATGCAGCCTCGGCATCTGCCAGGTCATCCTGGGCATCCAAAGCTGCAGCCACGGCAGCCTTAGCTTCGGCATGGCACTGCCGCCGAGCCTGCTTGGCTCGGGAAACCTCGTCAAATTGCATGAGAGCCCCGTCCAGGTGCTCCGAACCTAATATATTCTCACCTTCGTTCTTGTCACCCTCTACAGCCTCATCCCTCTCATGGTCACCCTCGTTATTGACACCTTTGTTACTGTCACCACGTGCAAGGTCATACACGCACATGTTGCCATCCCCATGTGTGCTAGCACTGGCAAGAGATGGGACAGCAGCACCAGTGGATGGACTCTCAACCACAGCTGATGGGAAGCAAATGCTTCCCTCTGAAGCAGGGGCGTTTGCTGCCTCTGCTGCAGTAGCTGCTGCTTCTGCTGCTGCTGACACTGGTGGTGCTGGTCGTAGTGCTGCTGCTGGTGCTGCCACTGCTGCTGCTTCTCCCCTTCTGCTTGCACTGTGGGAAGCCGTTTCGCACGTTCTTGCATCCGGTTCAGCCGTGTCATCCATTGGAAGGCGTTTAGAATCTCCTGTCGCAACCTCCACAGCTGTTGGCAAATGTTCCTCTGCTGCGACTGCACTTTCTGCTCCTGCTGCTGCTGGTGCTGCTGGTGGTAGTGGTGCCGCTGCCGCTGCTGCTGCAGCTGCTGCTGGTGCTGGAGGTGGCTTGTGTTCCTCCATCTGCACACCAGTAAACTTATCATAGGCCACACCAGCTTCAGCTGAAGCAGCATCCGCATCAGCGCCAACATCACCACCAGAAGAAGCCGGATGAGCAAGAGCCAAGACAGCAGCAGCATCAGCAGCAGCAGCAGCAGCATCAGCAGCAGCATCACATGCACTCTCCCCTGAAGCGCTCTCAATGCCGCCAGAGGCTCCTTCCAACTCACCCCCTTCCCTTCTGCCTCCACCTCCTCCTCCCCCCTCTGCTGAACCTATTTGCCTCCACTCGCCGCTATCACTCTCAACACAGTCACCCTTCTCGCCCCCATTGCCCTCTCCTTCTCCTTCCCTCCTCCCTAAACCATTTCCCACTTTTCCCATCATCCCCACCACCCCCACCGCTCCCACTGCCCCCACCTTCCCCACCCCCCCCACCACCGCTCCATCAATAAGGGTCCTTCCACGTCCCTTCCTGTCCAAATACCCTGAAAACAGCTTTCCCCCGGCGCCAATCCCAGCAGCACCTGATGATTGTGCAGGTTCACGCATCGTCAGCATGGAGTCTAGGTTGTAGAACCGCTTCCCGAGCCTAAATGGCAGGTCCGGGACAGCGTCGGTAACTTCCGAAGCTATGGTGCCTGCGTCACTGTCCGTGCTGCAAGGGCTGGGGCCTTTCCTTTCGGTCTCCTCTCTTCCCTCCAGTTGACCCTCCCCCTGTCGGTCTCGTTCCTCCTCCCATACCTCTCGTCCCTTCTCTCCAGCTGCTTCTCTCCCAAACCCTAGAGCCATGCCGTCTGATCTGCCTTCAAACCCTAAATCTACATCCTTCATATTTATCAGCAGCTCTCGATACCACTCCTCATCCTCATCCTCCTCCCCATCCTCATCCCCCTCTCCCTCTCGCCCAAATTCCCCACCCAAACCTCCTCGTTGCTCACGCCCCTCCTTCTCTTCCTTCCCCCCTCTGCCTCCAATCTTCTCCCCTTCCTCCCACATCCCCGCCTCAATCTCCTCCCCCACCTCCTCTCCCTCCACCCCACCTCCAAGGGACGACGCCCAACCACCACTGGACATACTCCAAGCATCAGTGTCAGCATCAGCAGCAGCAGCAGCACCACCCCCACCCCCACCCCCACCGCCAGCAGCAGCACCACCATCAGCCGGCATGTCCAAACTCTTATTTCCTTCATTTCTCTCCTCCCTGCCCTTCCCTCTCCCCCTCTCCCCCTTCTCTTTCTTGCCCCGCCCCACCCCAACCTCCAACTCCTCCAAAAAATCATTGATAGCTTCGTTCAAGCTGCCCGAACCCTGCGACCCCAGGAGGGATCGGAGGCCAAGTTTCAAGCTGCCCGTGTCGCTCCCTCCCCCCCCTCCCGAGCCTCCACCTACCGGACCTCCAGATGCCGAGCCTCCTACCGAACCTCCAGCTCCGGAACCACCCCGAACCAAACCATTCGCTGCCTTTCCTTCTCCTGATTTCTCTCCTGCTGCTGCTGCCCCTAGCTCGTCCCCTCCTCCTCCTGCCCCCCCTTTCCTGCTCCCACTGCTCCCCCCTCCTAGGCTTCCTCCTGAGTGCTCCCTCCTAAGCCCCCCTCCTCCAGACCCGTCAATCCCTGCTGCTGCTGCTGCTGCTGATGCCGATGCACTCTCGATTCCGGGCCCAGTCACTCTTAACATCCTTCTCCTCTCCCTCCCTTTCCTCCCCTCTCTTCCACCTCTCCCCTTCCCACTTCCCCCGCTTCCAAGGCTGCTCCGATCCTGCTCTCGAGCCAAGTCCAGCCCGGAGCTGATCTGAAGCTGATCTTGGTTCGGCACAAGGCCAGGGCTGCTCCAAATTTGCTCCTGGGTTAGGTCCGTGCCGAGGCTGCTCCGATCCTCCTCAGAAGAGGAAAGGAAGAGAGGAATGGGGAGGATGGAGTCAGGATGGGGCGAAGGATGAATGGCGGAGCGACAGCTGGAGCTTGGGTGCATGTGTGAGGAAGAGGAGAGGAGAGGAGAGGGGGTGGTGATGCCAGTTCTTGAAGCAGAAAGCACAGATGGAGAAGCAGCAGCAGCAGCAGCGGCGGTGGTGGTGGTTGTTGTGGCAGCAACAATCCCACCAGAATCTTTCCTTTTACCACCCCCTTGCTCTTGTACCTGCAACTGAGCTCCAGCCCCTCCATGTGCCTCCACCTGAGCAACCCCCCCTGCCCCTCCATGTGCCTGCAACCCTTCCTGTGCTGCTGACACTGCTTCTGAACACGGCTGCCTGACAGTGAAAAACGAGAGAGCAGGAAAGGCCCCTCCCCTGTGGACGTTGGAGAGAGCAGAGGCCCTGGGGCCACAAGAAGCAGGCAGCGGAGGGAGGGCGCCCAGCCAATTGCCCTCTGCCCAGCCAAGGGCAATAGCTGCTTCTGTGACTTGACCAGTCCAGGCAGACACCCCCGACGTCTTGGACAGGATCCTATGACTGTGGCACACCAGCTCTGCTGCTATATTCATCCCCTCTATAAGCAGCTCCACGTTCATCCTCCTGCTCACCCCATACCTGCCGCTCCCGCCAAACCTGCCGCTGCTCCTTCGCCCACTGTACTTTACTGCCCTCCCTCTTTCACCTCTACTGTAACTAACCCCTCCCTCCTCTCCCTCCTCATCCGCCTCCTCCTCCTCGTCGCTTCCCCCCCACATCCATTCAGCCTCTACCCTCTTGGCGTGCATCAGAGACTTGACCGCTGTACGCCGCTCGAAAAGCAGCAGCCTGGGTTTGGGTGGTCCGCTGTTGCCTCCCATCCCTTCCCCATCCCAAGAAGCTTCCAACTCTAGCCGCCCGGCGTGCCGGGCAGCTTCCGAGACCAATCGGAATGCTCCTCCAGCTGCCCGGGCGAAATCCTCCTCTGCCGTAGCTGCCCCAAACTTTCCACTCCATTTCCCACTCCATTCCCCCCTTCCCTCCTCCCCTCCTCCCCCTCCCTCTCCCCCCTTCCCCCTCCCCTTATCCCCCACACTAGCCTCAGACACCTGTAGCTCTGCTATGTGGCCCTGTAGCTTTCGAGCGAATAGCGTCGCGCCATCTGTCATCGCGAGGAAGAACCTAGGGGCCCCACAGCCCTGGTTCGCTGCCTGCTGGAGCACGGCTAAGTGGCTCTTAAGTAAGTGCGAGAGGTGAGTTGCTCCCTGTACCAATGCTCTGAACCGCTCTGCCGTTCCTGGTGGGAGAAAACAGTAGTGATGTGAGAAAGAAGAGGACAGACAAAAAAGGCGGACAAAAAAGGCAAAAATGATTGACAAAAAAGGCCGGGGGGGGGGGGGGGGGGGGGGGGGGGGTGTGGACACAAGAGTATTTTGACAGTCTTGCAGCACACATACGTGCACCTTCCCCATCCCCCCTGGCGCATACACACACTTGCCCCCTGCTCACCAGCAGATTGCAGTCCGAGGGAACGAATGAGCCCCAGGGAGAGCACATGTAACACAGTGTGAGCCTCCACTGCTGCTGCTGGTCCTCTCACATGATAATTCACACACACACGTACATACCTGCATACACTCCCCCGTCACTCACCAGCATATTGCAACCCAAAGGAGAGAGAGCAACCCACACACAAGCACTCTCATCTCACCAGCAGATTGCAGCCCGATTGAGAGAGCAAGCTGGAGGGAGAGAGAGCACGTGAACCACAGTGTGAGCCACCACTGCTGCTGCTGGTCCTCTCACATGCTAATTCACACAGACACGTACATACCCGCATACAATCCCCTCTCACTCACCAGCAGATTGCAGTCCGAGGGAACGAATGAGCCCCAGGGAGAGCGCATGTAACACAGTGTGAGCCTCCACTGCTGCTGCTGGTCCTCTCACATGATAATTCACACACACACGTACATACCTGCATACACTCCCCCGTCACTCACCAGCATATTGCAACCCAAAGGAGAGAGAGCAACCCACACACAAGCACTCTCATCTCACCAGCAGATTGCAGCCCGATTGAGAGAGCAAGCTGGAGGGAGAGAGAGCACGTGAACCACAGTGTGAGCCACCACTGCTGCTGCTGGTCCTCTCACATGCTAATTCACACAGACACGTACATACCCGCATACAATCCCCTCTCACTCACCAGCAGATTGCAACCCAAGGGAGAGAGCAAGCTCGAGGGAGAGAGAGCGCGTGAACCACAGTGTGAGCCACCACTGCTGCTGCTGGTCCTCTCACATGATAATTCACACACACACGTACATACCTGCATACACTCCCCCGTCACTCACCAGCATATTGCAACCCAAAGGAGAGAGAGCAACCCACACACAAGCACTCTCATCTCACCAGCAGATTGCAGCCCGATTGAGAGAGCAAGCTGGAGGGAGAGAGAGCACGTGAACCACAGTGTGAGCCACCACTGCTGCTGCTGGTCCTCTCACATGCTAATTCACACAGACACGTACATACCCGCATACAATCCCCTCTCACTCACCAGCAGATTGCAACCCAAGGGAGAGAGCAAGCTCGAGGGAGAGAGAGCGCGTGAACCACAGTGTGAGCCACCACTGCTGCTGCTGTCCATCTCGCATGATAATTCACACACTCACCCACACACAAGCACTCTCATCTCACCAGCTGATTGCAGCCCGATTGAGAGAGTGAGCTCCAGGGAAAGCACATGAACCACTGTGTGAGCCACCACTGCTGCTGCTGCCCCTGTAACATCCCCTCCCCCCCTTTCCCCCTCCCCCCCCCCACCCACACGCACACTTCATCTCACCATTGGATTGCAGGCCGAGGGAAAGAGCGAGCTCCAGGGAAAGCGCATGCACCACTGTGTGGGCCACCACTGCTGCCGCCCCCCCCATCGCCACCGCTGGAAGAAGGAGCTGAGCTGAGTGCTTCTGAGAATTCTCAGAAACACCCAGCTGAGCTGACGTCCCCCCACTGCAGGGTGTATGTGCAACAGCCGCTGTAGCACCGGAGACAGCCGCGATCGCGTCAGGCACATCTGTAGCATCAGCTGCAGCTGTAGCAGCAGCTGCAGTTGCATCCGAAATCAGTGACTGAAGCATGGAAAGGAGTGCAGAGGCTTCAGCAGCGAGTCTACAGGCTGTAGCAAGAGCTGTAGCACTGGGAATCGCAGGGGTAGCAGCTACAGCTGTACTCTTTATGGCCGTATCGGTTCCATTGGTATTAGCTGTGGATGCAGTAGCAAGGTCTGCAGCAGCATTGGCACAGACAGAGGCACAGAAGTCGCCAAACAGAAGAGGCAGAGGTGCTCCGTTCAGCATAGGCCCCTTAAATCCTTCTCCCTCCTCCCCTCGTTCCCTCTGCTCCCCTCCCCCATTCCCCACCCCACCCGCCCCTTCCTCCCTTTGCCTGCTTTGCTCCGATCCATAAGCGGGTTGAGGGAGGGGGGTGAGGTGGAGCAAGGCTATCAGTGCAACCTCTGCTGCTGCTGATGCTGCTGCACAGGCGAGAGGGGGAAGCGGGGCAACGCAAACCGGAAGGACAGCGGCAGAGGAGTCAGCATTGCCAGCATTGTCAGCAGCAGCAGCAGCAGCGGCTTCACTGGAGTACATCCATCCACAGTGAAGCTCCTCCTGCTGCTTCTCCAACCCCCCACTAATACTACGTTCCCTGCTGTTGCTCCCTTCCTTTCCCCTGCCGTCCCTTCCTCCCCTCCTCTTCCTCCTCCCCCTTCCCCCTCCACCTGTCTCCCCCCACACCCCAGCCACTGCATCCCCCAGCCGCAGGAGGCAGCGCAGCAGGAGGGCGGAGACCACAGGCACGGCTGCTGCTATGGGCGGACGGGATCTAAGGCGATTCGACAAGGCGAAAGCCGAGGCTGCTGCTCTGCCTCCATGAAGCCGTGCATGGAGTTCGGACATGAGAGGGAGAGCGTGGGAGCACAGGCGCAGCCATGACACAGAGGGCATGGTGGTGGGCGCTGAGACTGAGAGACTACCTGTCGAGATCTTGCTCCTCTCTCTGCTTTGCGTTTCAAGCAGCGAGTCTGCTGCAGTCAGCAGCTGCTGCAGGCTGGAGGAGAGAGCAGGAGGCACGAGCGGGTCAGGTGCAACTGGTGCAGGCGCAACTGGTGCAGGGCGATCTGGTGCAGGGAGACACCCCCCAGTTACGCCTGACAGGAGCAGCCTCAGCGCTCTAAGAGCCACGGCTGCAGCACGGCCCGTGTTGCTCGCTGCTGCTGCTGCTGCTGTTGCCAGATCCGTGGCACCCGAGACAGCCAGACTATCTGTAACTGTAACACCACCAATCTGTTGTTCCGCCTGTGCAGTAGTGCTGCTCACCGTAACACTTGTGGTAACCGCCTGGCCGCGCCTGCTTTCGTGAATGTGGCTATGAGAACAAAGCACGAGCTCGTGCCCTGCGCTCAGCAACCAATACGCAAGCGCCACGTCAGCGCAGGCAGACCGAAGGAGGCATGAATCTGCCAGTCTGGCAAGCTGCGTGTCCAGGTCAGTTGCCACGTCAGCAAGGGAGAGGGTGAGTGACTCGACAGTGGCACGGTGCTGAGTCAGCAGAGCAGCTGAAGTTGCTGCACCAGTGATTGAATCCAGGGGAGCAGGTGTTTGTGATGGTGCTGATGGTGCTGATGGTGCTGATGGTGCTGATGTTTCTGAACAGGAAGGAGCATCAAGATAAGTTCTGGCGGCACCATCAAGGGTTGCAGCCAGCAGCGCGTGCAGGAGAGCTGCAAGGAGGGAGGAGGACGCAACAAGATCGGCCGCCGTTGCTGCGGCAGACAAGGCCAACTGATTGATGGTGGAGGGGAGAGGAGGAGCGTTGGGTGATGGGCCATGAGAGGAGGACACAGCGAGATCGGCCCCCGTTACATGGCCAGGCATGGCAGCATGAGTGATGGAGAGGTGGTGGAGGAGAGACGAGGCACCATGCCTCAGAAGCAGGGCGGAGCGACGAACAGCTGACCTCTGCACTCTGCAAGCCAGCTCTCCTGCTCCACATGCACCTCCCCCACATGCAGCCTCCACACTAGGAGCACTAGTCTCTGTCTCTCTTGCTGCCCCTGGCACCCTTCTCTGCATCGCATGGAGCAGCAGCGAGTGGTGAGACTGAGCCTGCTCCACCATCCTCACAAGGAGTGTGAATGTGAACACATCGCCCTCCTCTCCATCCCTGCCCGTCCTGCCATAGTGCCTGCTGATTTCTGCCGGACACTCCTCCTGCCATCCCTTCTCATGCCTGCTGCTGCTGCCACTGCCGCTGCTGCGGCTGCTGCTGCTTCTCTGCTTCTTTGCCTGCCACAGCATCTCAAGCTGCCTGGAAGTTTCCAACACCAGCCCTTCTGCCTGAGTCAGCAGGTCTTGCCAGGTGTCATCACCCGATCCAGCTGCTGCTGACTCAGCAAACTCGACACACGACTCAGCATGCACAGCCGCCAGATCAGCCAGGGCAGCAGCCTGACTCAGCACACCAGTTGTGGACTGCCACCCTACCAGTAGCGGACTGCCACCCTCACCATTAGGCCGATACTCAGAGCAAGCAGCTCCATGGTCAGAACGGGCGCCACTCCCTTCAACACCCACTGCTCCAGGTTCATCCCGCATCAGGAGGTCCCGTGCCAGCTCTCTGGCTGCTACCGCCTGTGCGAATAGCTCCCTCCTCACAGCATCCCCCCCTCCTCCTTCCTCTGACCCACCTGTCAGTCCCCCGCCTGCCTGCTTCTGCTGTCGCACCAGCTGTGCTGATAGCCCCCCCACGACTTCTGTCCACCCCACTAGCCAGGCGAAGCCGCCAGCAGAGGAAGCAGCTGTGCTGTCTGTTTCACAGTCCAGTAGCCGCTGAACCGAGGGCGCGAGTTTGGCAGGGAGAACGAGTGGCACGTGCGGCAGCAAAGCCTGCCCGAGCCGGGCTGCCCGGAAGAGAACTCTGCTGAGCGAGAGCTCCAGCCTCGCGTGCTCTTGGCCGTGCGACATCAAAACTGCATTACTACCAGGAGGCAAGAAGGCAGGCAGCGTTGATTTGGAGCACTGGTGCTGCTGCTGCTGCTGCCACACGTGCTTGACGGTTCCCAGGAGTGTGGTCTCCGGAGCAACGACACAGGGAGGCAACCCAAGAGCAGATACCCCTTGAGCCCAGGCGGAGCTTCTCAGAAGCTCACCGAGAAGCTCAGGCGGAGGAGGTTCTTGAATTGCCGCCACAAGCATCTCTACCTCGTGAGCCAGGAGCAGGGCCAAGGCAGCTGACGGTCTCTGACGCTCATGCCGAGAGTCCTCGCCAACGCCGCTCTCCTCAACCGCCGCTTCAAGTGCTCGGTGTCCCTGTAGCTCCCCCGCTGTTCCGCCGGCTGCTCTGCTGCACGTGTCCGCCTCTTCAACCACTACCACGCAAGGCTGCTGCTGCTGGTGCTGCTGGTGCTGCTGGTGCTGCTGCTTCGTCTCCCTCTCAAGAGCCTTCATCAGTCTCAGGTGTCTCTCTGCTGCGTGCACTAGCGCATGTGCTGCTGCTCGCACTCCATCCCCTAGATCCTCTTCTCTCCCACCATCTCTCCCCTCCTCTCCTCCCCCTCTCCTCTCCGCCCCTCCTCCACGTCTTCCCCTTCCTCCGCCCATATCCTCTGCAATCACCCGGCCAGCCAAGGCAGCAGCAGCACCAATCACCACAGCACAGCTCCTCCCTGCCCTTCTCAGAAGCTTCCCTCCCCACCGCTCAGCACCCATCTCACTTCCCGCAAGGGAGCCACCATCCCTGAACCCGCCCTTTCCCGCTACAAGACAAAATTGCCGGACAGAATCCGCGAGAACACCCAGCACCATCTGGGCGGCGGCCTGCTGGCTGTAGCAGGAATCTTCGCAGATCTCATTCTCTGCCTCTGCATTTTCCCCATGCGAACTCGCTTGCGAATCGTCTGACGAAGCTTTCTCTGGAGCTGTAGCATGCGGCTGTAGCGATACAAGGACGGCGCGGTCCGAACCTCCTTTCTCCGAACCTCCTCTCTCCGAACCTCCTTCATCCGAACCTCCTTTCTCTAACCACTGCTGTGCTACAACAAGCCCACTCACCACATCCCTCACCCGATCCAGCAGCCTTCCAGCCTCCCTTACATGCACACTCGTTTCTGTAATGCGCTCATCAGCAGCAGCAAGCTCTGCTGTCCCATTCTCACCTGGTCCTGGTGCTTCTCCACTCCCCCCCCCATCTCCTGCTCTCTCCCCACCTATCACTGAGCCCCTCAGCCGCCCCTCTCTCTTTGACCTCCGGGACGCACCGAGCTTTCTTTGCTGCCTCCTCCTCTCAGCTCCACAACCCCCCCCCTTCACACAACCCTCCCTATTGCCTGCATTCGTCTTCCTTTGAGTCGGGTCATGAGCTGCATTCGTCTCCACCTCTCTCACCACCCCTGCCACTGCCGCCAGCCCTGAGAAGCCCAGGGAAACCAGCATTTGCCCACGAACCTGCTGCACGCTCAGCTCTCCTTGGCCCAAATCATCTGTTCTTTCTGCTGGCTCAAACCACCCCTGCATCCGACTGACCTCTTGTAATATCCCCTCACACACCTTCTCACACTCCCTCACACCCACATTCCATCCTAACCAATCGGACCCACCCAGACCCGACTCCCCTTGCATCACCTCTCTTCCCCCGCCCCCTTTCTCCCCGTGACTTTCGCAAAACCCTGCAGCTGCTTGCAGAAGCTTCCTATAGGCTTCCACTAGGGTGCGGAGGAACGAAAGCCTGTGCTGGAGAGTGGAGGTAACTGAGGGAGCTGACACAGTCTCAAGTGTCCCTCCAGCCCCTAACCCCTCTACAATCGCTGCAGCCTCTGCAGCAGCAGCAGCATGGCGTTGCAGCAGCAGCCACCCAGAGAACAGCAGGTGTGATAGCCAATGTTTGGGTGGTGGGAGAAGTTGCTGCTGCTGCTCCTGCACCTGCTCCTGCTCAACCCCCCTCTCCTGCTCTTCTGCCAGCCGCTCTTGCTCCTTCTGTTCTTGCTGCTGCTCCAATCCTAGACTCGTCCTCCTGCTGATCAGGATCCCTCTGACGGTTTCTGCTGCTGCTGCCACCAGCGCAATCCCCTCTTGAGCAACACCAAGGTCAGTTGCACCTTCTGTAGTAGCTCCTGAGGGAGGTGGGTTCTTCGCCACTGCAGCACATACCTGCACCCCATGGGCTGCTGCTCGGTCTCTAAAAGCTGCTGCTGCTGCTGCTGCTCCTGCTGCTTTTCCTGAGAGATTTCCGGCCCCGGGCTCCAGATCGTCTCCACCAGAAGCCGCAGACGAGACAACACAGCCCCAGAGCAGCTCGGCGCTTTCAATCAGCGCAAACAGCGACGTCATCCCCTGCTGCTGCTGGCCCCTCTGCGCCCGCTGCTGCCCCTTGCATTCACTCGTCCCTACAGCCCCCATCTGCCTGCCGCTGCTTACCAGTCTCTCTTCCCTCCCATCCTCCGCCTGCTGGCCTGCCAGGGAGCATCTATCCACTCCTCTCACGCGGCCCGCCAGCACTGCAGCGTGCTCTGTGGCTGCCTCGAGCAGTTTCCCACTCCGCTGCCAGAGCTCCACCTGACGCCTTCTCTCTTCCTCCTCCCCCTCGTCTCCATCCTCTGCATCCATCTCCACTTCGTCTTCTCCCCATCCCTCTTCCTCCTCCCACTCCTCCTCCCACTCCCCCTCTTCCTCCTCCTCCTCGTCCTCTTCCACCTCGTTTCCAACTATCTCTCCCTCCCCACTCCCTCCCCCCTCCTCCTCCCAATTCTCCTCTTTCCCAGCAATCCCTTCTCTCTCCATACCCCTCCCCTTCTCCATCACTCTCAGAACGCCGACCATGAAAAACAGGAGGTCCACCAATCGCCCTACACTCTCCACTGGTCCTTCTGCAGTCATGCCGGCTACAGTCACATCACGCATAAGCACACCCTCCTCCCCTATCCGTCCTCCACGCGGCTGCTGACTCAGCAGCAAAAGGTGCTGCTCCGCCAGTGCCACCAAATCTTCCCCTGCTAAGGTTACATCTACCTTTGGCAGGGTAACATCTGTCCCTGGCAGGGTTACATCTGGCGCTGGCCGTCTCATCACGTCACATCCCACAGCCTCCCATTCAAGTCTTTCCAAGAGAGCCATAAGGGCCTTCGCTCCCGTTACAATCACCCTCCCCTGCTTGCACACCTCCTGCCAGCTCAGCACCCCAACGTCAGCCACCACATCAGCATCCACATCAGCACCCACTCCCGCATCAACCCCCCTTCGTTCCAGTCCCCTCTCCACCTCACCCTCCCCCATGCCCCTTTTCCTCTCCCTCCAAGCCCTCCACTCCCCTGCCCCCAACCTCGCCTATAGTCACATCCGTTACAACATCCTCACTCCGTGCGGTAACCCTATCCACCAAAGCCCCCTCAACAGCCAGCCCCACATCCTCCCTATGCTCCCTCACTTCTCTCCACAGTGCCATGGCCGCTACAATCACCTCCCCTATAGCCACCTTCTCACTCCCCACCCCCTCTACAGTCCCATCCTCACCACTCACCTCGTGCACGGCTGCTGCAAGGCCTAACGGCTCCTGTGAAGAATCTTTTCCTCCTGCTCCTACACCTGCTGCTGCTCCTGCTCCGACTTCTGCTGCAATGTCTAGCGGCTCCTGTGAAAGCCCTTTTCCTCCTGCTCCTGCTCCTAAGTCTGTTACACTGTCTAGCGGCTCCTGTGCACGCTCTTCTCCCTCCAAGAAGTCACTTTCCGTGGAGTGAATCACAAGCACCTCCGCCTGCCCTCTGCTTCCCCCTGCACCTGCTTCTGTGTCTGACGGATCCCCCACAGGCTCCTCTCGCTCCAGACAGTCAGCTTCTGAGGAGTGGATCACGAGCACCTCTGCCAACCCTCTGCTTACCCCTCCTCCTGTCTTCCCACCCTTCTGCCCTCCCTTTCCCACCCCTTCACCCTCACTCTCCCCATGGCCTCTTGCTCCCCTCCCTCTCCTCTCCCCCCTCTCTCCCCTCCTTCCCCTCCCTTTCCTCCGCCTCCTTCCCCTCTCCCTCCTGAAGCCTCTCTCCCCTCTCCTCCTTTTTCATGACTCAGAGGCTCCATGGGCCAAAGGGACCTCCCCACAGCAGCAACCATACCCCAGGGATCGATACCACCTGCCCCAGATTCACCCACCGCAGACCCACCTTCCTCCCCCTCCTCCCCGTCCCAAACAGATCAAATCCGATAAAATCTGATACAGTGGTGGCGATGGCGAGCTCCACCTGCAGTTTACTGTAGCCCGCCCGCGAGGGGGGGCGGGGGGGCGTGGCGAGACGGGGGAGAGTGAAAACACGGGGAGGAGGCGTGGAAAGGCGGGGAGAGGTGACGTCAGCCGTTGGATCATCCGCGGATGCGGATGGAGGGCCAGGATCGCTACTCGCCCTGACCATCTGGTAGCTGCCTCTGCGCTGTGTGACGGTGTTGCCACTGCCGCTGATGCACTTAAACGAGTGTGACTGTATGCGCCTGGGGGGCATGATGCGAGGGGATCCCAAGCTGGGATAAGAGAAGGGCGTCCTCATCCTCTTCCTCTTGCGTAACAGCAGCAGCAGGTGCAGCAGCAGCAGGTGCAGCAGCGGCAGGTGCAGCAGCAGCTGTGTTAGAAACGTCAACAACAGCAAGCGCAGCAGCAGCAACAGCAGAGGAAGGTGCCAGCAGCAGCAGCAGCAGCAGCATCCGGAGGTGAAGTGGTTGCGTCCAGGGTGGTAGCAGAAGCTTCAACTGCAGCTGTAACTGCTATGTTCGCATCATCATCAGCAGCACCTCCCGCTGCTACAACAGCAGCAGCAGACGCAGCAGCAGCAGCATCCGCGGGTGCAGCAGTTGTGTCCAGGATGGTGGCAGAGGCTTTAGCTACCGCTGCTGTCGTGGCGTTGGAATCACCAGAGACGTTTGGGGCTACGCCACTCCCCACATCCCCATCTGCAACCAATCCACTCCCTGCCCGCGCACTGCCCTGACCCCCAAAGCGCATCACCGCATTGAACCTTGCACTATCCCCCTGAACCGGTGCAGCCACCCCTCCATCCTCAGCATCAGCACCACCCTCACCCCCACAAACCCCTGGGGGGTCTGCTCCCCCCTGCGCGCCTACAGGGGCGCGGATGGAGAGAAGGGAGGCGCCAAGGGGCTTGGGGGAGAGGGCGGAGGGATGGGGGGAGGCTGGTGAGCGGGGAGAGGGGGAGAAGATTCGGGGGGAAAGCGACGGATGGCGGGAAGGGGAGGAGACAGGGGAGAAGAGGGGGTGCGAGGGGAGGGGGAGGCGGATCTGGGGGAGGAAGGGGGAGGGCAACGGAGAGACCTAAGGGAGTGGGGAAGGGAGGGAGGGGGAATTGGGGGAAGCGGGGGAAGCGGGGGGAAGGGAGAGCTTTGGGGAGCTCCAGGCGAGGGTGCCTTTGGTGAGTGCACTCTTGGAGACAAGGGGTTTAAGAAAGATCTTTAGGAGACGGGGGTTTGAGAGAAGGCGGTTTTGGTGAGGTCGCTCTTAAAGAGGATGCTCTTGGTGAGGACGAGGACTTGCGGGGATGATGGTGGGCTGCCGACCTTGCTCTCGGACAGGGACCTCCCCCCCCCGACCCTGCACTGAACGTAGCATCAAGACCAGCAGGCTGGTCATTTCCTTGGGTAGCGCCAGGCCGGTTGGCTGCTCCCATTGTGAAGCACAGGAAGCTTCCACGCTGCATCGTGTCGCCCACAATCCCCTCCCCCTCCTCTGTGATAGGCTTCTGAGAATTCTCAACAGCCCCCCTCTCTCCTCTGCTTCAAAAACAGTGCCAATCCTTTCCCTCCCCTTCCTCCTGCTGTCTCCCCAGCCGTTGTCTCCAGCAACAGTAGCGGCAGCATTGCTGGTAACATCCCCTTTAGTGCCATCCCCTTTAGTGACATTCGCTTTAGTGACATCTCCAGTGCTCTTAGTGCGCCTCAGTTTCATCGCAAACAGGTACGTGCCTCGGTCCTCCTCCTCTGCCGCCCGATACTCAACAGGAAGTGTTGCTCCCCTGGGTACACCCTCCCCCGCCATCCTCTGGCCCTCCTCTTTCCTGCCGTAGTCCACACTAGCCCACCCTTCTCCTCTCCTTCCTCTCTTCTCCTCTCCTTCCCTCTTCTTCTCTCTCCTCTCTCTCTCCTCCTCTCCTCTC